GCGTCATCCGAGTAAGCGTTGGTGACTTTTCTCTTACCGATGTAGTGCTTCATCGCCTGCACCACTTCGTCACTATTGCTTGCTTTCAAAGGATAACCCCATATCACACCAGTGAACCGATCTCGAATCACCAATACATCCTTATCCGGCATGATCCCATCTCTCGCCATCTTCTGAGTGTTCATGAGATCGAAGGTGATAAGGTCACCAAATGCCTTCAATTTCCGTTTGAAAGCCCCCTTGCTAGTCTTGTAGTGCTTCATCTTTGCTCTCACACATGACTTGCAGTATGGGTTCTTGTATCGGTGCGTCGTCAGATGCAATATGGATTTCGCCTCATTCTTCAGCACTCCTGGTTTTGATAGTCTGGCTTCCCCGTCGACCACATCGACTTCCAATAGTCCCTCTTCCTCTTCACCAATGTCACTCTCCTCTCGTTCAGAATCCGCATCACCTCCACACTCGTCGCCTCCGGCATCTTCAGATTGACCATCGTGATCACTATCGAATCTCGGGTCTTCCCCGTCATGTTCCTCTTCAGGAGAATACCTATCATCACCGTGTTCCTCTGGTTCTCCTTCGACGCCTGCGACAGCTGGATTGATATCAGATTCACCATCTCGATCTCTCTGGTTATCTTTCTTCTTTCTCCTCCGTCTCCGTAGTTTCTTGGGCGGAGGATCCTCTTGTTGTGCCTCCTGACCTGCTGTGGTCTCGTCTTCATGCCCCACACCTGACAGTATGCGATGAAGTATCGTAGCCAAGCCATCTGATCTTGGTAAGCATCTCCCGTCGTCATCATTCACCTTGATGTAGGGTATGTTGTCATGCACCGATAACGGAATCTTGTTCGCGTTCTGGTCGATGAGGTATGGCAATTGATTTGCCGGCCATATGAATGAGTACCCTTGTTCCATGCACCGCTTCCCGATGGAAAAGACTGATGGTGTGCTCTCCAACACGTGTGCCTCGGACATCATGGGTAGCTCGTCCACATTGATGTCCACCATCTCTGATGTACTAGTTACACCATTCGCTGTCATGAAGCTCACGGATTTGGGTCCTTCCTTGGTGGTAAGGCCCATGGCATTGACTTTCTCTCTTGATATCAAGTCGTGTCCACATCCCGTGTCCATGATGAAGCGTATCGGTGGTCCATCATACCTCTCCACAGCCATGAACATCGTGTCCCCTGGTATCGTGTGGTTGACAGGATCCCTCCTTACTACCTCGCTGGTGTTGAAGTCTGACAGGTCGACGTTCACCTCGATTCCTTCATCTTGAGTGATTTGTATCCATGCCTTGGCAATGTGTTCAGCAGAAAATAACTCCATCATCTTACCTTTGGCATGTGCTACTCGTGCAGCTATATTGTTCACTCTGAGGGCTCTCAACGATGAAATGAGCTCGGTATCCACCTTCTGTACCTCACTCCTCTTCTTCCTGAGGGGACGGGTGTTTAGCTCGTTACCTGGATCGCAGGGGAACGTGGTCACATTCGCCTGGTCATCGAATCTGACTTTAAAGCGAAGCGCTAACCCACCTCGTCGTACGTTGGGAAGTGCTGGTTGCATGTCCTCATCATCACTCTCGATGTCCCCGCAAAGCATGAAGGCTGGCGCAGCCGGTTTGGGCTTGGGTTTGCCTTTAGCCTCTTGTTTTGCAGCAGGAGCAGCTTGGTGCTGACGTCGACATTTGTCCCCGAACTTGCACGATCCTTTCTGCCAATTCCAACAGACCTGATCCTTCATTGGCTTAGGGCTAGTGCTCCTACCACCAGGACTCTTTGATCTGTCACCCTTGAGGTTATCTGGTTTCTTAGCAGAACTTTTGTGCTTCTCCTGGTGACTAAACTTGCATTTGTCTCCTCTAGAACATCCGTTTTTCCCATGGAAGTGGAAAGCGCATCCTATCTTGGACGTGTCTGCCGGAGTCGCTGATCTGCCACGATCCCCTTTTGGGCTCTTCGTGGTTGACCTTCCTCGATCCTGCTTCTTGTCCTTCTTTTGGTGATCCTTCGGATTATTCTGAGGAAGTACTGGAGCGACGTCAAGCTTCGGTGGATCGGCCTTGGTATTCTTGGGCTTCGCTTTAGGGTCCTTCTTCTCCGCTGGTGTAGCCTTCATGAGGTTCCCAAAAGCTTTTTCCCTTTCTTTCTTATTTGTGGTCTCGATTGATTTCCGTATCCACTTCGCCATAATCTCCCGTAACTTCTGATAGGTCTTATCCGGATCCTTATCCAACATGTTGTCGTACACGGACAAGTCTAACGCCATAACTTTGGAATCTTTAATCTTGTCCCAAAGCAGGTTGCGGAGTGCTTTGTCAGGAAGCATGTCATCCGCATCCATACCTGATATGATCTCATCCCACTGTCCAAGGAATCTGGATAGTTGATTATCTCCAGGGAACTTTAGATCGAATAAGTGCTTAGATGCATACATCACATCGACGTTGTCGGCACTCCGGAAGCTATCGACGATCAACGCTAGCATTTCTCGTCCCTTAACCATTCCCGGAGTTGTGCCTCTCGCACGTCTCTGCATCATCTGCCTCACCTTCAGTTGTACGTCATGAGATCTCTCACCTGCTGCGTGGATAATCGTGTGTAGGGTGATACCTAGCTTAGCATCTACGCTAGCGAATCTTGCTTCGCCCGACGTCTCGAGCAGAAATGGGTCATATGGTGATTTGAAGGCATCCGAGAGCCACTGGATCCAATCTTCTTGTCTTTCGTCGCCCGATGCCGTCGCGACTGCCGCTACAACTTGGGATTTCCAAACCTCCAAGTCGTGTATCTTGGGCCATGCAGGGATGTTGATCTTCTCGTGTTCCTTCCGAGATATCTTGGAGCCACCCGAGCTAGAGGATGAAGCGGCACCATGTTCGGTTGCAGCTGCATTCTCAGCGTTCATGCGCTCCTCTTCATACCTCCTCCGGTACTTATTCCTCTCATCTCTGAGTCGTGCTGCATGTGCTTCTAATTCCATCATGTCCTGCTGGTTCTGCATCATACCTTCGTAGTACTCCATCGCCTCTTTCTCCTCGGACCTTAATGACTTTTCGGTGCGTTCAAGTTCCGCTCTAAGCCTGGTCATCATCTCATTCTCCACATTGGATTCTGATCCCATGTCTGGTGGTTTCATCTTCAGTGCGACTTTCAGCTGTGCTTCACTCGCGCTAGATTCGATCAATTCTTCCTGAAGACGTTTCAACATCCTCTCTTTACGTAGAATGTCTTCTTCCAACATGTTCATCTTGACCTCAGCTTTCTTGAGTTCGACGTTGGATGGTTGAGGCGGTCGATCGGATCCTTGAATCCTCGCCTGCGTCAACTCCTCGTTCGCCCTCTTCAATTGCTCTCTGATGGTCATGATGAAATTGTCCTGATTATAAGATCGGTTGTTGAGCTCCTCATTCTCTTCTGATAACCATTTGATCTTGCTTGTATACATTGCTTCCTTCATCTTCATCTCCTCGGCATATTCGTGTTTGTTCCTGACACTCTGCCTTTGTAGTCCAACTATCTCCTGCCTATACAGATCCCTAATGTTCTCAGCATCTGCGACTGCAGTCATGAGCTCGGTCACAGCTCGATCTCTTTCCGCCGATATAGCCTGGATCTCTTCCGTGCCGATGTTCACGACTTGACTAACCATCTCTGCGCTGTTGCGATCAGCGTACTCCCCTAACTGGGTGAGACGATCCCGCATTGCCACACGATCAGTGTCAATCTGGTATTGCAAATCGTGTGCTGCTGAGAGCAAACAGTCTCTGGATTCTGTAAGTTGGGAGATTCTTCGTTGATTTCCATATCCTTCGACGTAACATTCTTCGAGGTGTGCCATCACTACTTCGTGGACTTCGGTCTCGTGTTGTATAATCTGGTTCTGTCTCTGCTCACATTCGACCATCCATGCGTTTTGGTGGTTCAACATATGCACTTCGGCAAGTAGTTGTGCACACTTCGCATTGAGGTCTCCATCGGCCCGTGCTAGTTGTAGGTTGTCAGTGCCTGCCCTTGCTCCGTCTCCAGCTTCGCTGTCCGACGGTACTGGTACAGTTGACCCATCCTCTAAAGCTAGCACTCTCACAGCTCCGGTGTCAGTCCTCCTCCTTGTCTCCCTAGGGCTACGGCCCGATCTCGGTGTCCCCCCCGGTGGTGTCGAGTGCGCTGACGGGGAACGACTTCGTGCTCTACCTGTCGCATCTTCTCTCACCACTGTCAGAGTCTCCGCTTCGATCGTACCTGGACTAGAGTTGTGGGATGCACTCATCCGATCTGCGGCCGCAGCAGCTGCTCCAAAGGATGCAGTGCTGGCGTCGGATTGTTCCATCTTCAGTGACTGAGGGTAACTGATCTATCCGATGCGTGTGCGTTTAGATGGTGTTGTGTAAGGCCGCAGCACGTACCCAGCTCAAAGGAGTCTGGATACGGCTGATAACCTGCGAACGGATGAAAAGCGTGCCCCTGGCCCCGTTCTAGCCCTTAGTTTAACATGAAGCTCGCGCGCTAAAGCTCCTTTTTACCTGGTTGGGCACTTGAGCCAAAATGGTATATGGCATGTACCTGTATAGCGACTATACTGAGACCTCATCCCTATTGACATTTTCCTTGAATAAAAACAGCACAACATGATACACAAAGTATTATCTTGCACACATGGCATCACAACACGTAAGCAAATTAACACAAAACATGTCCGCTATACATGAAACAACCAGTTTGGTGTACACTTCTCTAAAGCATCGTCGGCCAATGATTTCTAATGATGCTAATGCATGTTTGTTCTTTTTAAACCAACTCCCCCATGTCAGCAATTGGACCACCTACAGCATCTACTGTGAAATGGAGGATTTCTCCGTGGAAAAGGATAGAATCTTGAACAAAGATGTGTCTTGGAGCAGCGAAACCCATTTTAAGCCTGTTTACCAAAACGTCTTGCTTGCCTAATCACTATCCACTCACAGTATATGACCTGAAGTCATCCCCGAGTCTCGGTGACGAGACTTCAAACCTCGTGGCTTCGGCGTTTTGTACGGCTCCTCTTCGGCGGGTGTCCATGGCAATGGCAGCGTTCCATGGCTTCGACAACATGAGGGAGACATGAGCGGTTCAGCGGGACATCCTGAGAAAAGGATGGAGCCGGGACATCAGCGAGGAGGAGCTGACCGTCGGTAGGAGGAGCTTCGCATGTTTCAGGGCTGGCAACCGCGCCTGCTTCGACCCGGCCCCTGCTGTCGATTTGGGGGCGAGCACGGTGAGCACCGAAAGGCCATAGGAGCGGAGAAACGAGGCCAACAAGCCCTTCCAAATTCACCTGTGTATGATGCCCTCACTACAGTAGGACTACCATCTTCGAGCCTACAGTAGGAAAGTAGCAAAGAGCGATCAACATCGTGGGCACTCGGCATCACATATTTTGGGGAACTGCCGCAGACTCTCCAAAGTGTTTCATTTCTGCTGTCCAAAGTGAAAGAACATTGGTCAAGAATAGCAACCCCTTCGTATGATAATAAATATGCAAACTATATTGTATCATACTATACTATATATATTTGTAATAGTCAATTATATGTATATTATGTTTTTTGGCTTTCTTTGTCAAAATCCCTTCTTGGGATTTTCAATGTACCACCAACTCTTCCAGCTTTGGCGGTGGTGGCAATGCGTGACGCCCCACTGCACCTCGACGCTGTCTCACCTCAGGCAGCGAGCAAACATGGCGCGCGAAAGAAACATGGCGCTGAAATGGCGCTCAGGAGGGCATGGCATGGAATGATTGTTGTGCTTTCTCACGTGAGAAAAACAACACGCTACTCATTTCAGGTTTAAACAACATATGTTGGAAAATGGAACTGGACCGCATATGGCATATGGGTTCAGTTGTATAATGAGCCATTCTACCACTGAAGTTCCATCTTGTTCTGGGAAGCAATTGGAAGTTCCATGATTGACTCATTAAAACAACCTCCTCGGATATTACTTTCTCTGCAAGCCCCGCTTCGCAGCGTGTGACATGTTCATCTGTTTGACCATTCCCGCTCTTCCATCCTTCCCGCTTGACTCTGCGTTCCGGGTTCCGGGCGAACAAAGGCTTCAGTAGGATGTCCTGCCAAATGTCGGAAGTCAAATGCCAGTCCTGGGCCGAACAGGTCTATCGTTATGAATCGTTCCTGTGCCCCCTGATGTCTCTGTAGACAGACGCCTCAAGACGTTTGGTTGTGAAGACGAAAGAGATTGTGGTGAACTCACCTCAAAAATCGTTTTGGGATCAACACATCCCAGGCATGGCATGGAAAGTAGCAACCAGAACTAGCTCACGAGGGCAAATGCAGCATGGTGGGTCCAATTGCATATTTGGACATGGATTTGTTGCCAAAGCCATTCTTGATCAGGACTAAGGCTTGGACCGTTCTGACCAAGCATCTTGATACAATTCCCCAGGTGTAACAAAACAACACCAAACCTGACTGGCAGAGTGCACCCAGACTGGCCAAAACAAGCGGAAACAAACAAGACCGCCAACCAAGCAACATGTCCACCAACCATCTGGAGAGCACCTCTCGTACTTTGGAGAATCAACCCACTCTGACTCAGAAAGCCGGAAGTGGCGAGTATGCGCTACTTCCGGCTGGTGCGGTAGCCGAATGCTTTCAGCAAACATGCCCATTGCATCACCCAAAGATCCAAAAAGCAACGACAAATGACATCAAATGACAACAGTTTCTTTTTGTTAAGGGAGACCCCCTAAAAATATATAAATATGGCATTGGATTGGGTCTATCTTTAGTCGTTGCCTACTTGGAGGCTCTCCCTATTGGATCTACACTACACACCTTGTCACCTTCTCTACCCGAACTATGCGGTTGAGTACCACCGCAGCCGAGGCAAAGAGACGGCATAATCGAAGTCCAGGCGGCCAGGAGGTCTAAAAGCTCGAAAGCACTCTTGGTGATGACCATGTCCTGCCATGTCAACTGACTGTGTGGGAATGTTTGGAAAATAGAGGTCAACAAATCAGTCTCAGTTCGTACCTCAGAAAAGGGCTACAAGTACAAGTCCCATCCTTCGGACCTGTTTTTATGGGGTCTCCGGCGTTTAGGCAGTCGGCTCACCATCATCGTTACGTCACATTCACTTTTTCCACCGGTCACAAAGGGTGAAGTGACCGATCCACTTCTGTCAAAAGACCTGGTCTGTACGTGGCAGTCGGTCCAAGCCCACTACCGCAAAACTACACCTCCCGTTTGGCCAGTCGTACCGAACCTGAGAAGGTGGGACTGGGGTGGGTGCCAGGAGGGTCCAGTCTTACCTTCTGAGGAGGCACGACTGGAGGTGTAGGGCCTGTGAATCTGGCACTTTCTGCTCAGCGCATCCCGCGCATCACGATGTGGCGAGAACGGAGACCGACGATCGCATGCAATGTCCTTAAGAACGGTTATATAATTTCATGCATACCTGGCACAGGAAAAAGGAACGTACTTGCGGCGGTTCGTGGTCCAAACTAGAGGTCATTCAGGTTCCAGGTGCAAGCTATCCATCTATGTCTGTGATGTGTGGTAACTGATTGCTGTGTGCACCGCTCTTCCTCCATTCATACCACTCTTCCAGTGACCAGCAACGTCACATCGTCGTGCTATGTCGGCAACACGCAGTGCCCACGCAGTGCCGCAGTGCGGACGGGCCATGTGGACGTTTGCAGTGAAGGTCTCGTTTGAGGTTCTCCCCTCAAAGCCATCCATGATGCTTTGAAGAAAAGCTCGATCTATGATCATCCCGTGTGTGTTTATACAATTCCTAGCAAGCCCGAGACCATTAGATTGACCATTAGATTGACCGGCTTAAGGCGTTTCCTCCGTCGGAGTTTCGGGGTCGATGCGCGGGCGATCGCGGAGGATGCGTGCCGACGCAGCGTCTTGGGATGCCAAGTGAAGAGGGGATCGCTTGAGAACACATAGAAGCCTTCCTCAAGTAACATGGGAAACACATCCAACTGTCTTCCAACATATCGTTCAGCTTGTGTTGTGATGTATCATGATGTATCTCACATTGTCATCAACCCAGCTTCCCGCTGGAACAAACTTGCGTGGGCAAGAAACACGACACAACAGCTCAGTCCTTGCCCTCGATGTCGAGACCATCCAACCTCTGCTGCTCTGGTCTGTTTTGGGTGGAACCCTTCATGATCTTCATCCCTACGCCTCCAAGTACCTCTTGAGAAGGTGCTTGGAGGCCTAGGGCATATATCTCTTAATGGTCAGAATAAAAGATTTGGTTTTGCCCCAGCACACGTGGGGATGAAGAGTCCAATCACCTCGTAGTTTGCATCGAAGTTTGCTTACTCTAAGTTTGCTTCCTATTCGTATGTCTCTTCCGATTGTCACATCCACGCGCAAATCTCTCTCACAGAAGGGATCCTGTACAACAGCTCCAAGTCATCTCAGTTCCGATACTTACACTCCGACTCACTAACGTGAAAGTGGAAAACCCACCTGTTTGTAAAGAAAAGTAGTCTTCCAACCGTTTTCCACTTCCATGTGATGTGTTCGTCAGAGTATAGATCACTTTGGTCCATCTTACAGCATACCCAGCTCGGAAGTGCTGTAGGAAGCCTTTCCGGAAGCCTGTGTTATTCTCTTTTCAGGGTATTTGGAGGACTTCACCCGTCCTACTTGCGAGATTTGTGGCGTAGAGAAGGCTCAAACTCAAACGATTCTGTCCCAAACTCAAAAACTCCACCCGCTCTGCGAACGCAGAGCGGTCGAAACACATGGTACCGTACCACCAGGTGGACGAGGACGGAAACAGGGAACCCAACAACCCTGTTGAGAGATCCCAACGAAACAAAACCCTATATATAAGAAGACCACCTCAACAAGAAACACCCAAAGGAACAAGTTATATCGTAACTACAATGATTTGCCACAATTGAGGTGATCAGGGTGACCAAAGTTGCTGACGCTGACAAGTATCTATCCATCTATCTATCTATATCTATCATTATCTATCTATCCATCTATCAATCTTTAAATAGTAACATATCTTGTCACTGGTCGGCACTTCACCGACACCGCCCCGGCTCCGCTCGGCTCCGCTCGGCTCCCCGGCATGCCGAAGACGTCGTTGGAGTCCAAGTCGGCCGCCGCCAAGGCATCTTTGACCTGGCCCTCTGCGCCGAACATGGCCTCCCACTCGTACTTCACCTGACGCAAGAAGTGAGAGGTTGATTATGAGATTGATTGGACCTGGATGGTCAAATGGAGGAGTGTCAAATTTTCTGACTTCATTTTCTTTTGGCTCTAAATAGTTTGTACAAATGAAACTCGCACTTCCAAAATAGGGCAGCTTTCTTGAATCGTGGATGTGCTCACCACCCAGCTTGATGTCCCAAACCTTCATCCTTGATCCTATATATATATATATATATACAGCTCGTAGAACCCCGGTGGAGGAGATTCAGCCGCTCGCTGTTGAACGTACCAAACATTCCATGTAATCCACCATCAAACCATCCAACAACCGTTGGGTGTAGTTCACTCTTCCTTCCACGATGCGGGTGGACCCGAACCCCAAAGCCACGGGCGGTTTCCGGCGTCCACTGGGCGCGCGCACGATGCCGCCGGAGTGATTGGTGTCGATCTCCTTGGATCCGGACGGGGGGGCGGATGGATCACACCTGGATGGGCTCCTGGCCTAGCGAAGTGAGGTTCGGGTGGGTGCCAGGGTGGGTTTTCAAACATGGAGCCTATATACACCCGGATAGTTCTCATGGCCTACCTGCGTTTCGAAGATGGTTAGGGTGGGTTATATAGTTTGGGGGGTCGAATCCACCTATAGCCTGAGGGAGATGGTTGGAGATGGATCCGGGCAGCTACACCAGTGTGGAACCTTCGACCCGTCGGGTGGGTTTCCAGGTCTCCAGGTCAACGCTGGGTGGCTGAGGAGATCGAAATGCGCTCCAAACAGAGCAACCACCTGGATTCTGGATGTTCCACCTGAGAAACTGGATTCCATCTGGTCAAGCTGGATGTTCCACCTGAGGAATCGAGAGGGTTCCAAATGTTCCCTCTGCGTGGGACGCTGCTGGTTGAGGAAGGCATCGCGAGCATCGGGAGGCACCGGTCGATCGGATCGATCCGAGGTGTCTGTCGAGGCCCCGTGAACGAACGCCGCGAAGCGGCGCCGTTCAAAGCGACACAGAAAGGTCCCTTCTAGCACCAGGGGTGATGTTCCTCTGACTCTCAGTGCGTCAGACCATTCTGGGACCCAACATGACCCAACATCTACTGCAATCTCCCTGAAACAATCATGGAAGTGGACACGCCCTCAGTTTGGTCTTCGGAAATGTGTCTTTCCAGTGCACAGTGGACGTCCACGTCACCATGTTCGTTGGATTTCGTTGGAGGGCACACGAGGGCATACATGCTGCCGTTCTCGCGTGGATGTCCACTGGTGTCCTGCGCAAATCTCGGAGAGCTTGCCGGACCATCGGTG